TCCATTTAAGAAACTTAAATAACATTCACTTGAATAAATTGAAAATATCTGTTTGTTTGTTTGTAATTAAGCACAAAGCTACACAATGGGCTATCTGTGCTCTGCCCACCACGGGTATCGAAACCCGGATTTTAGTGTTGTAACTCCGCAGACATACCGCTGTACCACTGGGAGGCAAATTGAAAATGATTTAATAGGAAACCCTATTAATCAATAAGTTTGGTAAGAAGAAGTAATCATTTGTTTGAATTAAGCACAAAGCTACACAATGGGCTATCTGTGCTCTGCCCACCATGGGTATCGAAACCCGGTTTCTAGTGTTGTAAGTCTCCAGACATACCGCTTTGCCACTGAGGGGGGGGCAATACATATTAGGCCTGTTTTAAATAGTTATCAACTTCTGCTGTTTATTTTATTTTCTTAATTGAGGGTTGTTTTAGTTTTTACTTTACAAAACTTGAATACTCTGTAAGGTGAAGCTTCTGAAATCTTAAACTCATCCACAGAAAATACATATTCATCATTTAAAAACACTGTTGTGTTTCAAAAGAGTTCGCGTGCTTCATCAGTAACATGTCTGCTGAATCTCTTTATTTGTCCTAAGTTCTTAAAAAATCGCTATAGAACATTGTTCAAGTGCACTTGGTTCTGTGTATAAAAGCGCATTGTACATTAGAGTTCAATTCCTTTTGTCGTTATTTGTAGTTGTTTAAAACTGACTATTACTAGATAAGGTGATTCGTTGTAGACGGAGATCATTCGTCAAGTCCTACAGAGAATTGAGAAGTTCAGTAATGATGTATAAATATTAAAGTTGGTTGAAATGACTTCACCGGAACGAACCCACCCCGTGTTTCTAATAACCTTTCAAGCTGTCTCCATCTACCATGACTAATAACCAAACATGTGTCTGACAGGCTACAGTGTTTCTATCCTATCTATCCATCAGATAATAGTTTCATGTATAATTCTGTAGTTAGTAAATACTAATCACAATTGTGGATAAATTATAAAAAATAATAAGTGCTTCGAATTCAAATGAACATCGTTAGACTTCTGAGACAGTAAAATGGAATGATATTATGAGGCGTGAGGTCCATTTTATAGATTATTTTATTTTCATTCAGATGGGAGGGTTTATATTAAAAGGCACTCAAGTTGTTTTTCTAAGTACTTTGATTGTGTAGGTTTTTATTTATTTTATCAAACTACGCTATTTGTTTTTTATGTCATGTTAGTATATGTATCATTAACTTGCGTTATGAAAGTTATTATGATATCTAAATATCTAGCTATTTCAACATTAACACTCGACCTGTGTATACATCTGTTTGTCTCTTTTGTTAACCATGTTTTTCTTCGTTCCTACATATATAGTTTATAGTTTATATATAGTTTATGTTTCTTATTGTTCAAAACTATATGAACTTTCACTTTAGCATGCCCTACTGCTTTATACGTGCTAAGAAAGACTGTGGTCACTTTGAAGATCATGTATTACGTTTAATCTAGTTTTTCATCTGTAATTGATTGTTTGTACAAAAATGCAGTCAAACAGTTAGGTTAAAGTTTCGGTATTTTCCATTAAGTAATAGGTGTAAGTACAGTGATTTTGATATAACCTTCAATGAAACATATAAAGTTATTTTTCTACTTCACATTACGCTACACATCATAACAAATACTATTTGTTACCTAGTATGCAGACAGTAAAACAAAAACAAAAGAGGAATTTGATTTTTTTAGCTCAACCCCCTACGTTGACGTCACATTTCTACAGTATGGTTGTTGATCCTGGATCACAAGTTTCTTTGAGTTGCACAGCAGTAGGAAACCCCTTACCCCAGGTAACATGGTCTACTTATCTCGAGCCTATTCAGGATAGTAACAAAATTCGGATTGGAGATTACGTTAGCAGAGACGGAGCTGTTATCAGCTTTGTTAACTTTACTGGAATTGAAATTATTGATGGCGGTGTTTACCAGTGTACAGCAGCGAATAATAATGGTATTGCAACTCATCAAGCACAAGTCAGTGTTGTTGGCCCGCCTGTGATTCGTCAAATGAAGAATAAAACTGTGGTGGGAGGAAACAATGTAATGATCAACTGTCCTGTTGGAGGCTACCCTATCAAACAAATCACATGGGAAAAAGGTAGGTTTACCTGTGTTTACAATATTAATTAACCAGAATATTTGTATTTTACTTTAAAAATCAATCACTAAATATCAGTATCAATCACCACAAAGAAAACACACGCAGAATAGGTTAGTTTATGTCATACAAAAAAACATTATGTGAAACCGTAAACTGTTACCAGTAAATTCTGAAGGACATTTCGATAACAAGAATTAAAGGAAAAAAAGAGCTATAATGTGAAAGATATAGTAACAAAAGCATTAAACTTGATGGTAAATGTAAGGAGAAATATTATAATATAAGTAGGTATGAAGTTTTATAGTTTAGAATATTATAACATAAGTAGGTATGAGGTTTTATAGTAAGGAGAAATATTATAATATAAGTAGGTATGGAGTTTTATAACAAGGAGAAATATTATAATATAAGTAGGTGTGGAATTCTATAGTAAGGAGAAATATTATATTATTAGTAGGTATGGAGTTTTATAGTAAGGAGAAATATTAAAATATAAGTAGGTATGGTGTTTTATAGTCAGGAGAAATATTATAGTATAACTAGGTAGGGAGTTTTACAGCAAGGAGAAATATTATAATATAACTAGGTATGTAATTGTATGGTAAGGAGAAATATTATAATATAAGTAGGTATGGAGTTTTATAGTAAGGAGAAATATTATAATATAAGTAGGTATGGAATTCTATAGTAAGGAGAAATATTATAATATAAGTAGGTGTGGAGTTTGATAGTAAGGAGAAATATTATAATATAAGTAGGTATGGAGTTTTATAGTTTAGAATATTATCAACTTACGTTTCAACTTGTTATTACTATTATTATGTGTAAAGTGCGAAAACATTTTGGTCTAGGTTTTCTTTTTTAATTTGATAAACTTACAATTCATTTCCAAATGTTTGTGTAAGTTTATAAAAATCGCATCTGCGCATAACCGTCCTTAATTTTTATATGATCGACTGGAGGTAAGGTATTTAAGATGTATATATACAATCCGCATTCATACTTTGCTAAAATGTTGTGAACTAATTTCCGCTTCTACTTTGAAGTGAACACTTCCAGTTCATATAAAAATGGTGCATGTCACATTTTTTACACTATCAGAAAGTTATTACCACAATGATGGAAGTGAGTTTAGTCCTAGTATATCTTGGCATTGTAACCGCTCAGTCTTATGAATCTTTTTTCCTTACCAAAATTATAAAAATTTAAAATACACCAATTTCGTAACTGTTTTGTTTTTATATTTGAAAATAGTATGACATTTAACAAATTTTAATTAATAGTGAAAACATGAGTTTATTGCAAAATATCTCAAATTTCAAATTATATTTTAATTTCTTGATCACTTAGTCGTTCCATACCCTAAAGGAAACTTTAAATATCATGCCAATTCTCTTCTGTTTCGGTCTTTTTAGAGATTACTTCTTGTTTTTCATCACTTCTCAAACATTAAATTTATATATTATTTTGTATGCACGATACTATAGTCTAAGGAAAATGCGTTTTTACGAACAAAATGATCCTGCGTAACATTTCAGACGAAATGATATGCAATAGTATTGTAACTAGTAACAGAAATGAACTTTAAGGGATCAGATTTCAGTAGTATTTTAACTAGTAATAGAAATGAACTTTAAGGGATCAGATTTAAGTAGTATTGTAACTAGTAATAGAAATGAACTTTAAGGGATCAGATTTAAGTAGTTTTGTAACTAGTGATAGAAATGAACTTTAAGAGATCAGTTTTAAATAGTATTGTAACTAGTAATAGAAATGAACTTTAAGGGATCAGATTTAAGTAGTTTTGTAACTAGTGATAGAAATGAACTTTAAGAGATCAGTTTTAAGTAGTATTGTAACTAGTAATAGAAATGAACTTTAAGGGATCAGATTTAAGTAGTTTTGTAACTAGTGATAGAAATGAACTTTAAGAGATCAGTTTTAAATAGTATTGTGACTAGTAATAGAAA